AGTCTGTCATTTCTGCCCACCTCCTCCACAGGCAGGTGACCCACGCTGCCCGGTAGCTACTAGCAGGTGGCCAGGCTCTTTGAAGAACATCCTTTGGCTCAGTAGGTCCTGCTGGAACTATGCTATGCTGCCTGAGACAGAAAGGTAAATAGCTCTTTAATGTGATGTGGACACTAAACTACCAGAGGAATCTTTTACAGATGAAAAACAAGTGCCCATATTATTTCTAATTTAGGAATTCCCAATACATGGGGAGTTTCACCACATCTGACGGATTTCTCTTTTCCTGCTCTAGAAGTGTTGGGTGTGTATTAAAGAAAAGTGAGGTGCTCTCCCCCCCCAACAACATACTCTCAGGATGACACAAGACCACAGTGAGAATTAATGAGGTGGTTAGTGTCAAGTAAAACATTTCCTCTTTCCTTCCTTCCTTCCTCCCTTCCTTCCTTCCTTTCTTCCTTTCTTTCTTTTTGAAAACCAGGATGGCCCACAGGGTTCCATCTGCCTCTGCCTGTGTGCTGGGATTAAAGTCAAGCAACACCAGGCCTGGTGAAAACTTGTCTTAAAACACATACCCCATGGAACTGATGCTCTAAAGCAAATAGACTGAACTGGGATTTCCAATGAGGACCATCTCCCAGGCAGTAAGAAAACTATTTTTTTTTTTTTTTTTTTTTTTTTTTGTAACCAAACTTCGTAAGCAGACACTGGTGTTTCCTGATTACATTATGTAAGGTTTGGGGACTTTCTTCCCCTGCCTTCTTTTGACATTTTTCTGCTTGGTGTGATATAAAGTAGCACATGGCAAATAGTTAAATAGAGAACCAGAAGATAATTCTAGGGCACTTCTCTTCTCCTCCAAATTCTCTTCATTTTTTTTTTTCTTCATTTTTTTCCTTTCTTGGACTGATCTTCTAAACTGCAAGAGTTTTTTTTGTTTTGCTTTTTTGGTTTCTCTTTTTGTTTATATTGGTTTTTTGAGACAGGGTTTCCTGTAGCCCTGGCTGTTCTGAAACTTGCTCTACAGACCAGGCTGGCCTGGAACTCACGGAGATCCACCTGCCTCTGTACTGCCCGGCTGCTGGAATTTTTTAAATGTAGGAGAAGTATCAAATGCATGGTTTAAAAAAACAGATTTAGTTGGGGACAAGAAGAGAAGAGGGAGGTGACACTGTGGTTGGCATGTAAAACCTATGTGGCATGAAACACATAGGTTTTAATACCTGACTGGAAAGTCACTGGGTTTCTGTGCTATCTGCAGCCGTCTGTACTGAGTGGACTGATCATAACAGCTTTCCGATGGGCACCTGGGGCACACTGAGAAACACCTTGCCCTCAAGGAATGTATTACATTTGGAGGCATATAAAGTAACAGACAATTAAGTGCTAAGTGAGTGGAACCTGTAAAAACCTGGCCAGGTTTTTCCAAAAAAAAGGGGTGGGGGAGGAATGGAGTAGTCACTACGGATTTTAGAAGGCAGGTAAAGGACTAAGGGTTTCTCTATACAGTGTCCATTGGAGCACACAAGCAGATTAATAACTGGATGGGCTGATAAACATACTAAGTATATATGCTGATATTCACCAATAAAATGGGGTCCTGCTGGGGAGCAGAGGCAGTTGAATGAAAGAAAATATTCAGGCTATAGGGAGCTGTGAATGCTTGGCTAAGGACCATGCCTTTACTCCCGTAGGTAACTGAAGGGAATTAAAGGCTTTTAAGAAAAGTAGATTAGGGAGATTAATTTGCTGGTAGAAGGTACAAAGGTTTTGAAGAGGGAGAGACTGGTGGCAATTGGCTGGTGGGTAAGGGCTGCTGACTGCATCCGCCAGGAGCTGTGATAAGGCAACAAAGTGAGGGGAGGGGGTAGGAGAAGGGACACAGGGGTTTAGGTCATAGGGGAAGGCCCAAGTCTGAGCCAGCAAGTAAATGTTGGTTCCCCTAAGAGAGGAAAGAGGATCTGGTCTCAGAAAAGACATGGAAAGTTTTGGCTTTGGGTAGCTGGCAAGACACATGGACAAAGGGACTGCCACCTAGGAGACAGAACTGTAGAACGGATGCCTCTGTCCCAGGTAGGCTTGGGTGGAGTCATTAGAGGCTTTTTGCAAGTTCAGCTTTGTCCCTTTCAGGGCTGGAGAAAGCATCTGCTATGGGTGTTCCCAGTCCCCAAGGGGCCTATGAGCTAGTCAGGGGCTGTCACTTTAATAGGATCAGCTGAAAGATGAGCCAATGTCAGGGGCTGGTTTGGTAGAATGTCACGGGCTGCTAACTCTGACATGTTAAGTGTAACATTATTGATGACTTTTGTATCTGGCTAAGAGTGTTAACATTTAGCAAATTAGATCTCTTTATTTTTGTCTTGCTCTTACATTTTAAGCGTATGGCAGAGTGCATAACCTGGGGCAGACCATTTAACCTTTCTGTGCCCCTGTGGAGAAAGGGAGCTTGTGGGAGTACTTATAAACATTTTGAAAGCTACAGATGAGAGGCAAGTAGGCTCCACCCAGTTCCTCCGTGACTGAGTCAGTCATCTGGGAAGGTCAGCCTTTCCTATGCCTTCTTCCAACCTCTAGTTAATTAGCATTTTTCTAAAATGCTCTACTAGTTCAGATAGAAAAGAGATCGTTTCTAACTGCCCCCTTTAATGTTCTGGGCCTGCCCATCTTGTTGGCCCCTTTTCATCCAGAGACTGTAGCTGTGTAATTCCCATCTGTAGGTTCTGGGATTAAGCCCAGGAGTATTGGATGTGAATTAGGGTTTTACACTAACATTCAGGGGCCTCAACATAAGGCAAACCCACTTGGTGTGAAATTTTGTCCCAGTTCTAAGCATGAAGCTATTTTTTTATGCTAAGTTTCACGCCACCCATCAAATTTGGTTTTTGGATACTTGTCTTGTTCTCCTGGGTGACCAGAATTTTCCCAGAACCTAAACTCAAGGATATGAATTTGGACCTGGAAAACCTCATCATCGAGGCAGGGGCCTTGCAATAAGCCATGCATCTTCTCATTCTTGCCATGATTTCCTCATTTTTGCCTGCTCCCTGAACTCTCCAGGAAGCATTGCAACTGTCCCCTGGCTTCTCACACAAATGGAGATCCCTGCTGCTGGCTGCCTTCCTGGCTTGCTGCAGGTTAGTTCTTATCCACCACCTACTATTCTCTTCTGGTCCAGCTGGGTCTGCCTCTCATTCCATGGACTCCATTTCTCCTGGTCTGCCTCACTGTATGACAGTTCATCTTTTCCTATTAAACCACAGTGGATGTTTGCTGGCATGGAAACTGATGTGCTATTGGAATTTTATGCTTGTTTACATCTTCCTTTGTGTTGGAAAGCTTGGGATCCAGTCCAGTTTCTCAGAGTTTTCCTGTCTCCTTTAGGAGAACACCGTAATGGTCTTGTGCCTGTGAATCAAGCCATTGGGCTACTGTTTTAATTATAATACTGAATAATTTCATCTTAATTTTGTTTTTAGACATACACTTAAAGTATGTGAATTTATTCACACTTTTAATTTTAAAATATTTTATTGAACTTAGCTTTATGATTATACAATAATAAATCAGAAGTTGAGAGTGATGTTTGCTCTACCTGGTCCTTTAAATCCTCTGCAAGGTTTGTTAAAACTGGCTGGATCTCTCCCTCCCCACCTTAGGGTTTCCTTTGAGTTAATGTGAGAATTTCCATTTCTAAGTCATTCTCAGGTGATGCTCCCCCATCTCCCTTTGACAACAGCTGACTATACTAATTCCTACCCAAGTGAATAAGCAAGGATGAACCCCGACTTTAGAGCTCCCTGACACTTACTACTTAGGAGAACCTGGGCAATCAGTTTGAATGGCACAAGCCCTCAAAGGGGTGTTGTGAAGGTTAAGTGAAACAGGCGTGAAAATAACCAACAATACAGTGGCAGGACACCCGGAGGCATTGCAATGGGTTTTTAACCACTTTGGCTCACTTGCTTCCCCCTCATTAACAATAGCAACTTTAATCTGGGAAAAAAGAGTATGTTTATTGCTACAATAAACTCAACCTTCAAACCCTTAAAAAAAAAATCATCCAGTGGGATCAGACATACTTCAGAAACATTACACAGGATCAAGAATGATTGCCAGGCTTCACAGCTGTAAAAAAGAGAAGTAAAAGACCCCATTGAAACTTTGGGTGGAGTCGGTAATCTTTCAACCCCGCTGAGATTGGTCCCTTGATAAAAATGGCTACTGGTTACACCACATGAAAAAGAAAAGTCGCGGTGTACACATAACTCGTTCACGTCATACTTTTATACCTCTTGCAATTTGCATTAATTTGTGCATGCTCCCTCCCATTTCTCGCTGTCGTCCTTTTTCTCACCCAAACTGCCTCGGACCCAACCAAAGGGCTAACACAGTTCTTGCTGTGCATGTTGACAGTTTTAACCCCCCCCCCCCCAAGAGTTTTTAGGTCTTGGACAGGTGCCACACATGCCAGCCAGGCAAGGTTTACCAATTCGCAGTCTGGAAGACCGTTCCCCTTTAAGGACTGGTGGTATCTGAGCTTGCTGGGTGGGTCGTGCCCGCCCGGTGCAGTGGGGTCCCCTGGCACGTGCCCCCACCCCTCCCCACCCCACCCCACCCCCACCCGGGCCTGAGGCCGCGTCTGCACACTGCTCCCGGGCGCCAACAGGAGGCGCTCGCGCAACCGAGGCGCTGCGGGTACCGGTGGAGCCCGCTCCGCGGGCGGAGGAAGCGGGAGGAGGAGCCGGAGGGGGCGCGGCTTCTTCCGCGTCCTCCCCGGCGCTCGGTCGCCTGCTCCGCCAGGCCCGGGCTGGCGGCCGGCGGGGGTCGCGGCGGTGGAGGCGGCGGCGGCGGCGGCGCTGGCGGGCCAGGCACGGAGCTTGGAGACAAGATGGCGGCGGCGCTCCGGAGCCTGGCCTCCTCCTCCTCCTCCTCGCCGCTCTCCGCCCCGCCGCTTGCCGCCTCCTCCGCCGTCTCTTCCTCTTCCTCGTGCGGGAGCACCAGCGAGCGCAGCGGCGCCGGGCCGCTCTCCGGGAGCTCAGGAGGGGGCTAGACCGGGCGGCGGGCGCGCAGGCGACGAGGCCGAAGCTGGGGCCGGGGCGGGGACGGCGGCGGCGGCGGCGGCGACGCCGGCTGGGGATGGGGTCGCAGACGCTGCAGATCCTCCGGCAGGGGGTGTGGGCCGCGCTCAGCGGCGGCTGGTACTACGACCCGCACCAGGCCACCTTCGTGAACGCGCTCCACCTCTACCTGTGGCTCTTTCTGCTCGGCCTGCCCTTCACGCTTTACATGGTGAGTGGGGGCGGGGACGCGCTGCGGTCGCTCGGGGGCCGGGTGCGGCGCGGCGGGGCGCGGCGCGGTGGGGTGGTCCGGTCCTCGGGGGTCGCGTCCCCGTCCTCCCGTCCTGGCGGCGGCCGGACGCCCCCCTCCCCCGGTCCTCCTCCCCGCCCCGGGTTCCCCCCGTTTTCAGCACCTCCCTCCCGCCGGTCCCCAGCCGGGTCCCGCTTCCTCGCGCCTCGCGCGCCGGTCTGCGTAAACTGCGCCCCGAGGCCTTCCCTCGGAGTCCCCGGTACTCCCCGGCCTCGGGCTCCCTTCCGACCTCACTCCTCCCGCACCTCGGCCCCGGCTCTGCGGAGCCTGGGAGAGGCCGTGCGCGCTCCGCCTGGAGCCTCCGGAGTCGCGGGGTGTCCCGGCTCGCACTGGCTCCCCGTGCTGGGGGGGAACCCGGGGCGGGCTCGTGCCTCTGCAAACCGCTCATCGGTTGGGTGCGGGTTCCTTTCGGCTCAGCCCCGCGGCGAGGGGCTGTGGTGTTGCCAGGCCAACGCAGCGGGCAGGGAGGGAGCGGGGAGACACGGGAACCTGGCTGGCATTTCACCCGTTTGTCTGCGTTGGTTCAAGGCCTTTGACTGGCAGGGAAAAGGAAAGTACCGCCTGTTGCTTGGTGCACTAGGGCCAGTTTCTCTCAAGTGTTTTTGGTGTTCTGAGAGTTCCTTCTATAGCCAAGGCTGGCCCGAGACTCACTGTGTAGTCCAGGCCTCGGGAGTTAACGGGATTAGAAGCGTGAGCCACCCCTCCAGAGTGTTTTTAAGGGATGTTTTCCTGAAAGGTGATAGCACAATTCTAAAACAAAACAACACAGTATTTTAGGGTGGGACATTTGGGAAAATAAAGCTTTCACATTTTAAAAGTAATTAGAAGGAAGGATAGTAACTATTTTAATGGAATATCTACCAACTTCGTGGTTCTTCAAGGAGCTAGAATAAAGGTACTGGATTAGAAAATCCCGAAATAGGAGTATAAATGCCACAAGTTAGAACAGCCTATTTGTCTCATTGCTCAGTATCACTAATTGGCAGGAACATGCCTTGGGGGATGGTGAGTGTGTGTGCTAAATGTCACATAGTCAAGCAGATTCTGATTTCTCATAGAAATGTGTTTGAAGGGACTTACACGAGCTTACAGGAGCTATTTTTAAAAAAATGCTGATGGCTTATTACAGGGCCTGCTCAGTCTTGTCAAAAATCGGAAAATTTATCACTAAACGTTGTAATTTTGGTTCATTTTGGCGGATCAAATTCAGTTCACATCAGTGTGCCTTCCAGGAATAGGATATCGTTGGTGAGCACCTTCATGGCTTTGGTTGTGAGGCTCCTCAGACTCACAGAGCTTTCAGAGTGGGCTTGTCTTGGGTCCTGGAAGGTGGTTTAAGACAAAGTGATTGTCGGGAAGTCAGGATTTGTGGCTAAGTGCTGTAAGGTTTGGCCCTAAGCCTCTTTGTAAAATTAACAACCACTGAAGACGCTAGAGGAAAGAATGACTGTTCTGTTGAGACCTGTTTTTCCTCGTGCCTCTGCCCGGGTCCACATGCAGTGGTCCACAAGCAGTTCACCTGCTTAGTTGTCTTCCCAGCAACTGATGTATTGCCACTGTGTCCTGTGCTGTCTGCACTTGCTCTTCCTTCTTAGTCGGGGAAGTGGGGGTGGGGAGAAAGACTTTTCCTTTCCAGATGATTATGGCTTGCTTTGGTTAGATTATTTCAGGTTTCTGGCATGGGAGGCTTTGCCTGATCGGTTACATAGCAGCTTCTAAACGCTTCTGCCTGCTTTCTAAATAACATTTTCTGTGGGCTGATACATGCACGTACTTACTTATGTTTTTGTTACCTTGTTTCACTGTATAAGCTAAAAATAGACCACACGTTCTGGCCAGGAGGGAGCTTCATTCTGTTCCTTGCTGTATTCTCAGGACTTAAAATAGTGCAAGACACACAGTAATGAGAAGTTAAACAGATGATTAGAAATGACCAGGACTCACTTTCTTCTATCAGGGCTAAAGTCTAGCCCAGGGATAATGAGCAGCAGCAAGCATTAGAACTGTAGGGGTTGATGAATTATCAGAATCTGTGGTCACAGGGGAGTCAGCAAAGAGGACTTGTGCATTTTAGGAAACATGCTAGTGCTATATAGTATTGAGATAGATAGTGTGACATAATATATCAAAATCAAAGCAAAATCTTGCCTTCTGCATTAAAATCTTAACCGTGGTATTATTCATGTGTTCTTCCAATAATAGTTGCAGGTGATGGTGACTTTACTGAGCATGTGTACAGGTTCTTAGCTCAGATAAGTGTCCTTACAAGGCTGAGCCACTGTGACTTGTTTTATTGCCTTAGGCAGATATGTGAACCAGGATTTATACAGGACCTTTTGAAGCCAAAGTTGAGGATCCTTGCGGGCATATGTGTATGTGTCTGTGTGTGCAAGCACACACCCCTTTTCTGTCTCCCAGCTTTTGTAAGTCTTTTAAAGGGGCAAGTTACAGTTTCTGTAGTTAGGTTATGGCTCTAAGTAGTAGAAAACAAGAAGAGAAGCTTGCTACTCATCTGATTGTCTTCTGTTCTCCTTGTTTACCCCTTTTATCTCCTTACAATGTTGTCACAGGTGAGACTTTTTGGAGATAGGTTAGCTTATTGGGGGGTGGGGATGAAAAAGTTCACTGGATTAGATGTTATCTTGATTTTTGAATCTGGGCCTTGCTGTTGATTTGTGTTCTTTGGGCAAGATTCCCTTCCTGGACCTTGATTTGCTCAGGTGTGACCTACTTCATGAGTATTTTATAAGGAAGTATTTATGAAATTGATGATTCACCTTGAGAATAGCCTTCAGCAAATGACATTTGAAAGAATGTCATTAGAATTTTTCTCTATAATGCCGTATCGTATGCCTAGAAAAGAGATTTGGTAGCCCTGAATTTATTGAGTGAAACCATTATTATTACATGCTGCTCTTCCATAAAGAATTACATATTAGATGATGAAATACACTAAAATGTATTTACATTAAGATAGGCTGAGGGTAGAATGCTTATCAAGCATACATGAATCCCTGAGTGCAGTTCTGGGACTTGCCTCTCCCCAGAGTCTAGCTGTCATAAAAACATTACCTGCCAGTATTAAAAATGTGTACATGTATAAGCCTGTTCTGGTCAGAATACCTGGAGTGTGGTTCATTCATTTATATACTCCCTGCTAGGTAAGTTCAAAAAATGTGATTAGTATACTGGTAACTCCTAGCCTGGCTTTAACTTCCAAGCTGGTAGTCATGTCTTCAGGACTGTCTTGAGGCATCTAAGAGAAATCATGTGTAAAACCATTCTGAGGGGCTTTAACAATGCCTCAGTGGTTAAGAGTGCTTACTGCTCTTCCAGAGTGCTGAGTTCCATTTTCAGCACTCCCACAGTGGTTCACAACTGTCCATATTCCAGTGCAGGGCATCTGATGCCCCTTTCTAGGCATCTAAGTACACCAGCTACACAAGTGATGCACAAACACACAGGCAGAACACCCATACAATAAAACAACAACAACAACAACAACAAAACACCATTCTGAATTTTAATTGGATGCCCCCATTCCAAAACAAACTAACGAATAAGCAGAGGAGGAAAAGAAACCTTTCTTCACTGTTGTGTATGGGTTAATGGTATGATGGCAATGGACCATTCCCTTGCTCTTGCTGTACACACACACACACACCCTTACCTTAACCAAGTCTGCTGTCAAGAGTAGCTCAGCTCTTCCTTTCACTCCCTGCTCCAGGCTGTTTAGTCTACACTGTTATTATATTACACACTATATTAGATTACACCCTATATATATAACAGCATATATAGTATACTGTTGTACCAGCCACATAACTGATCTTTGATATCTTACACCTTTACAACTCTTAGAATAAGCAGAAGACTTAAATCAGTTGGTGCCACCCCTTTTGTATTTATTGCTTTAAATTTTTTTCATACAATATATTTTGATTATATTCTTTCCTCTCCTCAACTCCTCCCATAGTCTCCCCAACTCCCTATCTACCCAAGTAAATATTCTTTCTCTCAAACAAAACAAAAATCTCCAAAAGCAACAAACCAAAAACCAAAACAAACAAAATCCCCCAAAGGCAAAAAAAAAAAAAAACCAAACAAAATAAGCATGCACACAGAAAATGTGGTGTCCATTTTGTGAGCATGGGGCCTGCTATAGAGTGTGGTTAATATACCCAGCATTACTTCACTGGTTTTTCCTCTCCCAGCGAGTTTCAGTAACACATTGCTTCTAGGTGAGGGGTAGGACTTGGTACCCACTTCCCCCTTTCAGTGCTTGGATTTTATCTGGTTGACGCTTGTGTGGGTCTGCGTGCGTGTGTGCTGTGTGGTCACCATGAGTTCATATGTGCATCAGCACTGTTGTGCTTGGAAGACACCCTTTCCTTGGAGCCTTCCTTAACTTCTAGCTCTTAAAGTCTTCCTGCCTCCCCTTTTGCATAAGGAGGAGGAGTTCCATAAAGTCATCTCATTTAGGGCAGAGTGCTCCAAAGCCCACTCTGCACACTGCCCAGTTGTGGGTTTCATTGTTAGTTGTCATCTACTGCAAGAACAAGCTTGTCTGATGAGGGCTTAGCAATAATGCACTGATCTATAGAAATAGCAATGCCATTAGAATGTTCATTTAGCAGAAAAATAGTAGTAGGTTTTCCCCTAGGGTCTGTGACACACCTAGTCTCAGGTTCTTGGCTACTTTAACAGTTTGAGGTATGGGTTCTATATTAAGGAGTGGATCTTAATTCCGATTTTAAAAATCAATCAGTGGGCTGGAGAGATGGCTCAGAGGTTAAGAGCACTGGCTGAGGACCTGAGTTCAATTCCCAGAAACCACATGGTGGCTCACAACCATCTGTAATGAGATGTGGTGCCCTCTTCTGGCCTGCAGGGATACATGCAGGCAGAACACTGTATATAAT